GTCTCTGGTATCGATGAGTGAAAACGTATCTTCCTGGGATAAATAGTATTCAAAGAGAGTTTGGAAAGACTTTTTTGCTCCCTCTTGCCAGAGTGTGATCGGTCTGGCTCCGTGATTAGTCAATTCCAGCTAAAGATCTGGGATTTCTGCACAGTCCTCGTGTCAATGGTCTTCTTAATTATTTAACTTCTAGAACCTCCAAAAGAACTGGTGTCCGCTAGCCGTATGCGTCAAAGGGTACTTTTTGCACGCTTAACGTCGCGGAGTTCTCGCTCAAGGCACTTGTCGCTTAGGGCACTTTCTGCGCCGCTTTGCTTTTAATCGTCACTGTAAATGTATGTTGGGAAAATGCCACTTAATATTGCACTTGCCATCGTCTCTATCACGTACACCTGTGATCGTTCCCTTTCTTCTTTTTCTCTGTCTTTTACCGCTGCCTCGCCCAATTTCTACTTTCTTTCTTTCGGCGTCTCTCGCCCGGTGTCGTACTCTCCTTGCCGGTTACCGTTGGTTTCCGTGGCCCGTTGCCGGCCCGACTGCGCGGCGCTTGCCCGTGTCCGTCCTCACCTTCGATGCTCGTCTCCCGGCCCGTTTACGTGCCAGGCGCGTCCCGGACTCGCGATCGCATCCGAGAGCATTCGAGCACCGCTCGCGGTAAGCTGGTGTTCAGCTTTGGCGGCCGCGCGCGCCCGGTTTTCTTTTCTACCCCTTGGTTAATCTCCGAGCTCCTCGAGGTCCAGTGAGAAAATTATATCGTTGACAAGATTACCATGACCGGTGGCGCGTCAAAGCACGACTACCGTGGGTGCATTGCGTGTCCTTTCTCATTAGGAGTGGCCCTACCGGACCACCCCGCACAACGCACGACCTGTTATTTTGACTTTTCACCTCACAACCCAAATCATGGTCTCGAAGCGTTGGGCCGAGTGTGGCTATCATGCCTCACGAGAGGTGGACCAACTATTATGACTCACGTCAAATGCTCGCTGATTCTTCTGCAGTTTCCCTTTTGGGCCGCACTTAACTGATCTAGTAATACATATTGGGGATACGCACGTCACGTATTGGGACGTTCCTTTGTTGGGGGGGCTTACCTTGGCAGTATAGAACTTAGGTGTAGTCTGAGGCTCTGTATACGGTTAGGCTGCTCAGCTTCGGTACTCGCCAGCAGGTGTAGAGCACTCTCAGAGCCTGTCTCGCGGTAAATGTGTTTGGCACCTTTGTGCTAAGGTACTCGTCAACTCACTGAAACCGCCTTGTCACGGAAGCATCTATCGTTTATCCTGGAGCGTTTACGCTACATCGCGCGGTGATAGCGACTCTTTCCATGGAAATCAACGTTCCGCCTTTGGATTAGTGAGGATGGTTCTCCGTGAGCACTATTGTGCGGGGAGCTTTCTCTGATTCTTAGAACAATGACATTTCAATATTTTACCTCCAACTGTAATTACTACAAGTAGCGCCACACACAGCATGCGTACGTTTTATTTTATTGATCTCACCGAAAAATAACGACGCATGTATCGATTTTTTTGAACAGAAATTCGTCTGCTTCACTCTAGACAAAGACGGTTACTACCTCTCTACCTTCTTCTTTATAAAGTTTTAAACCCGGTTTCAATGCAACACGCCTCATCAGTACTTCAATCACCTCTGAAACTGAAATCGGCTCGCGAATCAGCCTGCTTTGTGTACCCGTGCACGTCACAACAGACTCATTCACGTAAATCATTCACCATTTACAAGCTATCGCGAGGCCTGGAAATAATTACCGCGAGGGGACTAAAGCATTTAAATATTTCGGAAAAGCTTGCAAAGCTTGAATTAACACATGGGTAGACAAGGCATATGAACGGCGTCAAGTCTTCTTCCCAAATCTCCAGACTTCTCCCACTTCCAAGCGCCCGGTCCACGCCCCGTTAAAACCTTCCTATTTCGCCCTCTTTATTCTGGCAATATTCTACCGCCAATACCTCATTGCTCTATCTCATCGTTTATATTCCCTCTCAATATAAATTATGAGCATCATTATCTTTTCTGTGGTACCTAAATGAAATTGTTATTAAAATATACAAAAGTATTAGTGAAAGTTCCAGATAAAATTATTAGATTGTATGTCTATCTTGTACCATCATCAGGATATTCACTACAATATATTGGCATAAACAAAATTGATGTTAGATACCGCACTCTTTGAGTATTGTTCTTAATAACTATGCCAGTATTGTATTAGAATTACTGTTTGTATTATTAGCGGTATAGTGTAACTTGTGCTTCTCTGGTTATAAAAATTATGATATATTTTTGGTAAAGTGGCTACTGTAGAACTAAACGTAGCTTCTGCAACGTTCCGCTAAATAACTTCACTTCTCGGGCTACTTCTTACTCGTCCTTTTCTTCGCTTTTTTTTTTCTCCCGCTCTCGCCTCACAAACTTTATCATTTACTACTTTTTGATCCCCTTCCCCTGTACGTCTTTTCTTTTCTCTTTCATGAAACTTCCCTTTCACTACTCACTCATAACATACTCAGTTCTAAGAATGTTCGGCCTAAGCACGCCCATCCTGATTGAGGTTTTTCTGGGTTACTCAATGCTTAAGGCGTATGCCGGGATGGTCCTAGGTCTGTTCTCTCAGACGTAAATGAGCAGCTTGGTCTCCCCTCTTTCAAATGTTAGCTATTCTAAAATGTATGTAAATTGAGTGGTTGGCGGAAGAGCAGGCCCTATGGCGCTGAAGCCTGCGCCATTAAATAAGACATTTTATTATTATTATTATTATTAATCTATTAATTATTATTATTATTCTGCGTCTGGTCTGTGTCCTGTCGGGCGTTCCAACGTGATGCGGTGGATTTCTGTTTCTTTTGTGGGAACAATTAATATCTGGGGAATTATAAATACAAACTGACAAATTACTGTAATCCTCCTGTGGTGCAAAACGCAGTACTCGTCAAACCAAGTCTTTTCCGAAGATAAATTTCTTTTCGCACTTCTTTCATGCTTTTTGATTCCGTGAGATATTTCCTAATAAAAAAATCCCAAACCTTCTGACGTTAACGAGTTATTGTAGCATGAAATCATTATTTGTTATAAATAATATATTTTTATTACATCCTTTAAATAAATTGAAAGATTTCAAATTAGGATCAGTTGTAAAACATTTGTCAAATAGAACAAGCTATAATTAAGGTTTTCTCTTTCATATGCCTACCCTAGGTGTAATGCCTCTTCTACCAAAATTTAACAAATTTCAAATAATTCAAAATAATACCTTCGCAAACATTTGATATCTTTTCTAGTTTAATATCATGACAGCGCAATTTTACAGAGAACTTAAAATTGATTCTTTCAAATCGTTATACTTAACTTCACTGAAAGTTTCTAAACAAATTATCTACTTCACTATTTTTCAATCTTTACATTAGGTCAAAACTATTTTCCTCATCCTGGAGCTCGAACCACATTTTTCCAAAAAAACATTTTTTTAAACTCGTCATAATTAAAACTTGTTTTATTTTATTTGTCTCTGAATAAAATGTAATGCAATTGAACGGGTAGCAATATAAATATGGATCTTTTAAAAATCTTTACTTGCCTGTTCCGCCATCAAAGTTTTATAATACTGCAGGTTCCTTCTTTTTTTCAAGAAAAAAAATCACTCACTCTTGTCTCTTTCTTCCTCCGCTTCCTTCAAAATTGTGAAAGTGGCCAGGCAGCTGGCCACAGTTGTCCTCATTCTAACCTCAAACTGCTCGCGTTGCTTATCAGATGGCTGCGCCGGAGAACATCGAGGGAGGACATTTGTATCAAAGTGTAAACCAGCAGGAGATACTTTTCGGGAGAATATCTCAGGAACCAACTCTCCGTGTTGGTAGGAGACTCGGCGTCGGGAGATATTTCGACCGTGTAAGGGCCGTCAAGAAGAGATTTATCTGCCGTGAAGAGAGAATTTATCTCCGTGACGTCATGAAGTTAGGAGACTTTGTCTCTTCGTGTAAACGCACCTTAATGTAAATATCGAAGTGGTCGCTCCCTGACCCAGTAGTTAAAAAGTGACCTTAGAAAACAAAATTAAATTAAAATTAAAATAAAAAATAACCTCCTCCTAGAAAACATCGCAAAAGCTTCAATTCAGTTTCCAGTCGTAATTTCAGAATCGTCGTTTTCATTTATTATGAGACTGTATAATGCATTCCAATACCATTATCAAAAAAATTGCATTTAAAAAATATTAATGCTAGTATTAAACACAAAGGGACATATCAATTAGAAATGCTTGCGGCAAGGACACTAAGCTGGTAAAAAATAATACAAGCAGCATTTCCGCTTTCTTTTCTTTCACCTGCCCATTACCAAAAACCAACGAAGCAATCGTTTTCAATAAAATCTGCTTTGAAATTACTTACCGAGACAGTTTTATTTCTCCTTAATGAGCTTAAGGCGACAGCGGAAACACAAAGGGGCTTCTCCTTTGATGATATTGTCCACAGAGCGGTAGTGGCTCCGTATTTCCCTTGCAGAATCCACTGCCCTTGTCGCTATCCGCAGCCCGCGTTTCCTGCAATGACCGCCGGCAACTGCTGCAACATGAAACTCGCGAAGAGTGTTGTGCATACTATTTAAACACAGATGTCCGATTACTGATTTAAACACAGTAGCTCCTCAAGGTCACGAGCTGAACGAGGGATATAGTCAACCAACCGGGAGTTTTGAAACGATTTAAATGTTTGGTATTAGGGCTTCCGATTGGATGACAATGTCCTTCTCTCCTTCCAGCTCGTGACCTTGAAGTGCCAGTATGTTTAATCAGAGTACTATAGTACTTAAAATTAATACCTAAACATTTTAAACTACTCGGCTTGACAAGTCCCTAATGTTCGTTGCGATACATCATAAAGGTTGAGCCATTTAAATTCATGAGAATTCTCCAGCGTTTTCTTCATTATATTTCCAATAATTACTTCATTGTCTTGGCAAAAGACGAATCGTCAAAAACAGCGATGATCTACAGAGGTATATTATTGTAATCATTTCAAGAGAACATATCTCAAGAGTATATTTTACCTTTTTTAAAGCCAAAATTCATTTATAAACTTCGTTTCCGAAATCAAAGAATACAGTGCTCTACGACATTAAGCACTGTAAGGGTTGTCAGGCAATACCAAGTCAGCTATAACTCACAACAAATAATTGATAGCAGATACCAACATCCTCACAGCATTTTTATAAATAAACTCTCTAGCCTCTTACAAGAAAACATTTTCCGAATCCGTGCTCTCTCTTTCACACTTACATTCCCACTCATTACATCATTCATGAATATTGTCGTTCCATTCCTTAACGGCAGTCACCAACTATGCTCCATTCCTTTGTCGCCATTTCCATAATCTGAATAACTTCCCTGACTCCCCTCACCTCCTTTTCTATAAGCTTCCGCAACCTTGTCATCTCCGCGACCGGTCGGGCAGAAGGCGACCCGTTTTTTTCCTTCATATCGGACTCGACCTCGCCATCTCGCTCGATCCCCGCCATCTCCCTCCGCCCCCCACCATTTTTCACAACCCTCGGCAACTCCCTCCCGTCCGCCATTTTCGTCATTGCTCTAGTGCCCAACACTCGCCACTCCCCACGCCACTAAAGCACCCAGTGACCTCACTCTGCCCCGCCCCGTTTCCGCGTTGCATGGCGTGACGTCTCGTCGGCGGGGCGGGGCGGCTGGGCTGACGCGTCGCGCGGCGTGTTGCGCAGGCTGGTGCTCGGAGGACGAGGAGCGCTTGGTGCGCGACCTGTTCCGGGGCTACAACAAGCTCATCCGGCCCGTGCAGAACATGACGCAGAAGGTGGACGTGCGCTTCGGGCTGGCCTTCGTGCAGCTCATCAACGTGGTGAGTGGCCGCGGCCGCGCCTCGGCCGCCCCTCCGCGCGCCCCCCACTCCCGTCCCCTCAGGCTTAGATGGCACCAAATGATGAGATGGTCCCCAATGTTGAGATGGTTGCAAGTAATAATTTGACCACAATTGTTTAGATGGCCCCAAATATTGAAAAGGGCCTCTATTTTACTTCTGGACAGTAAGAGTAGCTTCACTATGCACAGGTTTTATTGAGCTCTCTTCATTATTTTCGGGGGAACCTGGCAGAGGGTGTAGGAATTTTGTCAGAAATACCATACAATTAAATATGTTATTCGCTTTCAAATGCAAATACATTTTCTCACGTAAAAAAATTGCAGTTTACCAGATACATGATACTTTAATAAGGGAACTGTTACAGTTCTGGTATACTGCAACTGTTCTTTGTTTCCGCTTCGGAATCAGATTTTATAGTTTTCAATGTCTCCGATTCTACTTGTTTGAACCACTGTTCTTAATTTAACTTCGTAAGTTAAGGATCTTGGTTGGGACTCTGAAGCTCACAAAAACTTGCGCAGATTATATTTCTCCCACATACGTCACATACAGTTTGTACTGCTTTTGATGATAAATAAATAACATTATCCAAGCAATGCTGCCGAAGTCTTCCATAAAAGTTAAAAAGACAAATACTAGGTTCTAACGCATATTCCATTTTCTGATCTGAAAGGTTTTTAAATAATTACATTTCTTTTCAAGAAAAAAGTGTCGTAATTTGAATGAATTCAACCGTATAGTTTTTAAAAAACGTATGCAGTAGTACATACGCAGTAAATCTTGTTGAGTTTTACTTCAAAACGTCACCCGCGCAAGACACTTCTGTTAAAATTATATTGTTTTCTAATGTCACTAAGAAATATCTTTCTTTAGTAATCCCGACAGGAGTTACGGGACCCTTAGTTAACGGGACCCGTTGTTAACCCTTAGTTAACAGCGGCTGACATTACAATTTCTGAGCGATGAAATCAAATAGACTACTCAGAAATGGAAGCAAATTCCATTAAAATGATAGTACAATCAATACAATCAACTAATAATGCATTAAAATTCACGAAAAAGGCTAAAAAAGATTCATTAGTCAAAATCAACCGAAAATGCTTGAACAAAAAAAGACAAAAATGGATCATTTCATTTTGTAATAACCAAAATTAATGTCAATAATAAACAGCATTTTTCTATAGTGAAAAGAAAAAAATCATTAAAATCCGCCCCCTAAGATATCTAACAATACTTTACTTCAATCCAATACAATACTTCACCAATTCTTTAAACATTTACATTAATCGAATTGACGATATAATAGATCGAAAATTGATGAGTTTTAAGGCGTTGTGTCAATATTTAAAATTTTTGCATGATAAAAGAAATAAAATGTCATTAGGTTAGGTTCACGTTCGTGTATTGGGATTCGTTCTCTTATAAATATTAATTCGTCACTTATTTAATTTATAATGTCATTTTTAATGTGTTTTTGTTTTGCTTGCACAAATAATATTGTGCCCTACAACGACACCTTACAAAGAGGATAATAACATTTTAAATTGTCAACAGAATTTTCTTAAATTGTAATTCCGTCTCACTCAATTTGTATGAGATACGAAATACCCAATTTTAAAATAAATATTTCTTAACCCCGACCTCAAAGCGCCCCTTGTGCATCTGACATTTCGAGGCGTTGTAGAGTGAAAAGCGATTCATTATTTGGGTGTCATCCATTCAATGTCAATACTTTTTTCGGCAAGCGATGAGTTTTTTCGCTTATTTTTTTCATATTGATAAGTAAATGAACCTTCATTTAATTTTCCTGCCAAAGTCACGCGAATCAGGGTCATTGAAAAGTTCCTCAATTCGGTACCCTTCCATAGCTCAACTTGCCCTTGAGAGAAAATATCATTGACGCTGTTGCTTTTTGAGCCAGCCTTTCGACGTTATAAAATTTACAATATATCTTAATAAACAGTTTCCTTGCTAGGCGATAAATATATAGCAATGACTAGAGAGCATATATAGCAATGACTAAATATATAGCGTACTAATGAATAGAGAAAATAAAAATAAATAATATAGCTTCGGTTGATATTCGCTTTAAAACTGCTTCTCTCAGCGTTATTAAAAGTACTAGATAATTTGTTTATAAACTAACAACACTTAAGTGAATAAAAATATTGAAACGGAACTTTAGTCAAACGCGCATACTTTTTTCACGAATCGTCCATCATCGGGCCATCCTACAGCGGCTCTGACTAGATTATCCGGGTAGTTGCAAGTTACCTTTCTATAGGAGGTGTTAGCATTTTAATGCTGATTCCATTTTGATACCCCAGGGTTGTTAGTCATGAGGGATGGGATGAAATTATGATGAAGATGAACTAGACACACACACGAGCGTACAGAGACGCACACAACACAACCATGCTCGAGGCGGGACTCGAACCCACGATCCTTTGGTCCGAGACCACCACTGCACTACTGCCTTAGCGATCTCGGCCTTCGAATCAGCGTGAATTATTATTATTATTATTATTATTATTATTATTATTAATTTTAACGTTAATATTAATATCTTGCAATTCCTCTTTTGATCCATACAAAATAGATTTTTCTTTTGACATTCACCAGTCTGAAGGCTATTCATTGCCACTGGTACTTAGAGAATTTCAGCTTTTGATTCACTTCAAACCTCAAGATAGGCAAAAATGTGTGGGTGCCAAACATAGGAATTGGTGCATGGACGGACTTCGAGTCCCTGCCAGTCAGCAATTCAAGATGCGTTTTCTGCCAATCAGGGGCACATTTCACATATGTATCTACATTATATGAGATTTCCTACCAATGACTCTTAGATAATAAATAACAATAATAATAATATATTAATAAAATTTATTATTATATTTTAGATAGTACTTGTAATTTTCCAATGAATGTTTACCGAGTAATTGTCGTCATTAGGCCGACTGCAACGTTTTAATTACATATCTATGAGAAATCCCGCTCGACAAACCAATTCTGTGAAATAAGTAGAGAGGCACCCTTGCTGTTCAGTCATTTACGTTTACGACCGAAAGAATTTAGAGTTCTTTTCAAGGACATGCATTCGCAAATTAACGTGCCGTTGCATTAATTACCATTATCGGAAACGCATCATTCCCATCGGTGTGAGTGCGAGAGAGAGAGAGTGCCTGCGTTCTGGCCAAGTCTACTGGGCGCTGTTTAAATCGCAATGTGTAAATGGACTGACAATTTAAACAGGCGTTCCTTTGTTGAATCAATACAAATGCGTTTTGGCGCTACTCTCCTACCAGTTCATCTAATAGGTTTCAAGGTCCTTGCGAGCTATGGTTGGCTGGCCTTGGATTGGACAGTGAGAGGAAGTCATTGCTAAACGTCAATTTTAGGCGCTTTAGTATTATTTAAAGAGAATGTGGATGCAAAGAAATTTGCTAGCTCTTCGGCTTTCTTAACAGGCGTATACAGTTTTCCTGTGTGTGAGTCAAGTGGGGAGATGTTATGTTTTGTTCTTAATATTCTGTTAATCATTTGCCATGGATTTGTTGTTATGGATTTGTTGTTAGTGTTCAGGGATTGAAGTAATGTTTCAAATTGCTGATTGTTGAAGTATTTGACTGATTTACGTACAATTTTTATTAGTGTTTTAAGTTCTATTTTTAGCACTGGAGTTCTTAGTTGCGACCATCCTCTGCGGGTTTTGTTTCTTATTTGTATTAGTTTCACTCTTTTTGAGGGAAGTTTATATTATTTATCGTGGGTACTTTTTGGTATTAATTTTATCTCTTCATTGTGGTATGTATTATGGTAATTATTTGGTTGATTTATTGCTCTATTTCTAGTGGGCTCGAGAGAATTTTGAAAATTAGGTATTGTTGAGCTAGTTATCGTGTGAAATTTTTTACAGTCAACTTTTACCGTACTTGGATTTGGTACTCGGACGTGTGGTGGTCAAGACCGGAATGTTGTCCAAGTCGAGTTCGAATAATGAAGTAGTGTATAGTTTTATTTTAGTGTTAGTTATTCCGATATCGAGGATATCGGGATTCCTTCAACGATCATGGGGGTAATAGGCGAAGCCTGAAAATGAAATTATTTTGAGATCAGTGAGATTTACTAATTGTGCTAATATTTTCCCAATACGTTGGTGTTCAAACAATCCCAATAAGGTATTTTTGGCATTCAGTCCCCTAAAAGTTATGGTATTATTTCGTTGAAGTAGTATGATAATTTATGAGATTAGTTTATGATTGGTTGATTGTACGCTGCAATATTGGCTATTTTTTTCATTTGAAGTTAGTGAACAAAACAGTTTCTATATTACCAGTGCATGGTAGTTATTATTGGGAATGTTTGTAATATTGTTATTGATGGCTATTAGCGCTTCCTCCTCCCTTTGTGAGGTTTCTCTCGTCTGTAAACATTTGAGTAGTTTCGGCTTTTTGTTATTTTTCCTTCAAGTGGGTTCTCTGATGCAAATTATATCTGCATGGTGTGAATTTAAGTATGTGCATTTGTTCTGTTTTTTTATTCGTTAAAGCAGATTAGCATTCCAATTGGTGAGAGAAAAACCTTTATAGATGTTGTGTTGCCATTATTTCGTTAATGTGGAGCAAAAATGGAATTTTGAATTGACTTACTTATGGTGGGTAAGGGTATTATTGGATTGATTATATAGAAGTGATTGCATTCCATTATTGTATTTATAATGAAGATAGTTATGGTGTGGTTCTTGGAACGGTTGGATTTCGATTGTTGTTAGGTTTGGGCGGACCTGGATGTGAATGCTGTCTAATATGGGTGAAAGTTTTATAGAATTGGTGTTTGGGAAGAAAGAGGGAAATGGTAAGTTTTGTTTGTGGGGAGTGGTGGATTGGAAAAGTTTTTCTTCTTTTTTTTAATTTATTTTTTGCCTGTTCGGCAGTTATGCCTTTCAGGGTTTGTTACAGGATTTTAATACATAATATTTAATACATTAACATTTGGGCATTACAACCTTCACTTTGTATATACTACTAACTAATCTTTACATGTTTCATATTATATATTTAACATATCTAGATAATTTACACATAATACATTCTTTTTACTTTATTTAATTTTTTGTATTTGAAGCGAAAAAAGAAAATTACATTTTTACGTATATTTTATAGAGTATACTTCTTTTCATGGGGTTTTTAACATATTTTCGAGATATGTGGAGTTTTTCTTTGATTGTTTAATGTTTTCCCATTGTAAATTTTATGTGCAAGAGAAGATGGGAAGAAGTGAAAAAATGTGTCACAGTTGTTTCTTATATATTCGTTTTATGGGCTCTTATTTGAAGTTCTCTTTGAATGTGTGTATTAGAAATGAACCAAGGAGGCCTTTTGCACATTTTCTTAAAAAATTTGTTTTTGTATGTTTGAAGTTTTTTGAATGTTGTTTTTAGCTGTGTTATTCCAGACTGACAAGCATAAGTGATTGATGGCCTAATTATCGATTTAAATATTAAGACTGCGGCATTCCATTTAAGGCTGAGCGAAATTGATTAATGGAAATAGTTTTTGATATTTTGGTCATATGTTGCATTTGTTGTAAGTTGTATGTGTTTCTTCCAGGTTTAACTTGTACAAATGTGGAACCCCAAGATATTTCACAGTGTTATCAGACGGCTAGCTACGTGGATGAGAATATTATTTAATACTATGAGCGAGTTTAACTTTGGTTACAAAGTGTAAAAATTTTTGCCTGGGTTACTAGTTGGTTTATTTTTATTCTCCATTGTTTCAGCCCACTTTAAGAAAACATGAGATATCTGCTTCGATGCATTCTTTGCCTATATTTATATCTGCATGTGTTTGTGTATATTGCAGGTATCGTCGCAA